AAGGTTACTTGTCGTACGTTACACGAGGTTTAGAATTTTGGAGCGACAGAGTCGCAAACTTCCGAACCCAACAATATGTAATATTTTGTAAAAATTAGGCCCTTTTATGTAATTATTTTTGATTTGGACCCGTATTTGTAATTATTTTCACTTTCCGGCCCTTATTTGTAAATTCCCCTTAATTAAACCTACATATAATTTTCTTATTATCTATTATAGTTGGATTCATCACAAAATCTTAATTCTGATTGAATGTAGCATTTGAATAATTTAGTGCTTAGAAATAATTGTTATCATTTGGTACTACAATATGCTAAATTACTCTTCTAGGACATTTTGGTTAGCTTATTTCTCATCTTTAGCAATTGGTCTTTATGGAGTTAGCTTGTTTTAGTAATTTCAGGTTTTACAAATTTCAATCGATTTATAAGGTACTATATACTTAGCACTAGCTTAGTGCTAGTTTTTTTTATATTTATTTTTATAATTTTTATACGATTAAAAATTGAGGTATACGAAATATTATTAACCTTTTAAAATTTTGGCCTGTTCATTTTTAATGGTATAAAATAAAATAAAATAAAAAATTTGTTACACGTAATGACACTGTAGCTAGCTGATAATATTATTCTGAACTTAAATTACATAATTCAGTTCCCTATTTTGCTACAAAATGAGTACCTTCTTGTTTAATTATAATCCTGAAGTGCTTATAACTACGAATAAAACACCGATATCTTTTAGAAAGTCAAAACAGTGCAGTACTTATTCAGTACTGGATACAGTACGTGTAGTTGCTTCAGAATGCATACTCTTCTTTTTTGCAAGTATTTGTTTATGTCTTATTGTTGTTTGGTTATCTTTAGCACTTAATTCACATTCTGCCTTATTCACCAAGTCATCAAATTCTTCAAGTGAAATGCTCATAAAAGGTGCCAAATAATCCCTCGTACTTCTATAAAAGGAGAAAATAAATTCATTAAGGAACTCTCCAAAAGCATTTCCACTTCGAATCTGAGAGTCTTTTGTTTGACATGATATTGATTCGACTTTTCCGGTTTGTTGAAGGTAATTTTCAATGTTTTTAACTATGTCACTATCAATATTTTGTAATCTGAGCCACGATTCCCCTAAATTATTATGAATAGGTTAAGAAAATCTTTTAAAACACTGTGAGACCTCTAAGTGTAATTTTTCTTAATGCAGCACCTTTTTAAATGCAACACTAAATTTAGCTTAAATATATAATTAACCATAAACACAGGTTTGTTTTTTGTTCTTTAAATGTACACGCATTATTAAACTTTGGTACTACTAACTGAATTTAGAGGATCTCACTGAAAATATATTTTTAGATAAATGTGTGATGAACATACATGTGTTTTTTAATTGTTTATAAGCTGACCCATAAACAAGATCCGTATTATATGTACCTACAAACTAATATAAATATCATTAAAATTTGGCAATATAATATTATAAGGTTAAAAGTCGTTTTCTCACCTCTAACCAACCTTCAGGCTTTAATACTCTAATGATTTCTGATAAACCTTCAAGAAATCTATTTTTTTCCATTAAAAAAAGTTTATCTTGAGAAACAATATAATCAAATTCATTATCGGGGAATGGTAGCTTTTTAAAAATATCACATTCAATAAATGTAATATTATTAAATTTTTCACCAGAAATTGATATGGTAGAATCAACTGCATAAAATTCTGTATTTGGATATTCAGGTGCAATCTAGTGTGTTTTAGAAATTAATAAAAGAAAATCAAAGTTACTGACATTCACAAAATGGTAGTATGCTAAGGTAGTTCTCACTTTCCCGAAGTACATTTTTTGAAATACTATTTCACGAAGTCGTAATACCGACAATTCATTCTGATAACAGGACAGAAATAGGTCGGTCGTTTCACCGAATATAAATTAACCGACAAGTTTATTTCATTGTCGTTAGGGTCAGGTTAATGCAATTTTAAAAACCTTCCAGTGAAATGAGCTGTCAGTGAAATAAACTTATCGGGTAATTGATTTTCGGTGAAATGACAGACCCATTTCTATCTCCCTAGTAATGAATTTTCGCCATTACGACTTGGTGAAATAGCATTTCAGAAAATCGGGAAGTTAAACAGGAACCGTATGCTAATTACCTCTGTAGTCCAAATTCCAGAATCACAACTTTTTTTTTTTTTTTGTGAAAATTTAAATTACTACGGTTTATAAAATACTACAAAATGACAAGAATAAGAATATACAATTTACCAAAATTCTAGCACTTTGGCACCGGTTTGCAACTTTTCTTGAACTGGAGCGCATATTATGTCATTAAATACATGCTCGTAAATATTGTACATGTAGAATCTAGTATTGATTGAATCTTCTGAATCTTCCACAGGAGGGAGATACGCATTTGTGGATGTACTCTCATGTTTTTTAATTTCTGAATGATGGCTCATTGTGAAAATTTTTTAGAATATTTACAAATTTGAAAATTCAAACCATCTTATTTATTCCTAAACAACTTGATGGTTCATAACTTTAAAAGAATCACAATCATATATGATAATTCTAAAAAGAGGCCATAAATAGTTAAGTTAGTTATAGAAGACAATGTCATGGTCTTAATCAAGGCATTTACTATTACATCATACCTGTTATCATATTACCATTTAGGCTGGACTGAATGGCCAGCGATCCATTATCCAGATTAATGTTTATCAAAGATAGAATTTGATATATTTTGAGTAGTGATCGTACTCGAAAAAAAAATATATTTATATTATTGGGTACTTGATAGGAGAACTGGATGATCAGAATACATCTAAATTTCAGGTAAGAAGATCTTAACCATTTTCGCTCTGATTATGAACAGGTTTAAGCAAAAATACCATGAACGTAGTACAAAGTACGAAGTGTATGGTTTACAGAATTACTATTGTACGTATCTTTATAACGTACCAATACTAATTCGTATACATATAGTTACAAATTCTTTCATGTTTTATACCCCTGAGCATCATCCAATCAAAACACCGAATTTGCACACTTGTGGTTGTTTGATAACCATACACTTTGTAATTTCATTATTCCATATACGTATCAGGAACGGAGTACAAAGCAGAGTGCAATTCTGGGCATTTGATTGGATGAGCAATTCTTTGACTTTGTGTAGCACCCACAATGCTAAAAAAAGAAAGCGATATTTGCTTGCAAAATCTTAGATATAATTGACCCGTCTAAATGGAGTGCAGTCGGTTCGTTATAGATTATACGAAACAATGTATGCTCTTATGTAGGTACCTTATTTGTGTATGTGCATCTCTTCTCGATTTACTTTTTTTGTCATGCATTTTGCTTTGTAAAAAAAAATTTTGAGTAAGCATTTCAGGTTTAAAGTCATGCCTCGTTTTCTAATTGTTTTATTTCTGATCTTATCAGGTTTGCCTATTGTATACATCGCATGCTTTCTGTAAAAAAAAAGTTAATGTATTTAAAATGATTGAAAAAATATAACAAATACAAGTCATGTTTGTTTTTGCTTATTTTTGCTTGTTAAGATGAAATGGTTTTTATTATTATAAAAAAAACAATATGCAGTTAAATCAATTTATTATTTACTGACAAGTTAAAAAATGTATCTTTTTTGCATCTGATGGCAATTCATTCTTGTAACTTTGTTTTTTTTTATATTTGTATATTATATATTTGTATATTATATATAGATTTTTTAATATATATATTAACATTATGTTTAGATTTATAAATATTTATAATATAGATTTTATTTTACTTATTTTATTTATATTCTTATTTGTATTTATCTTAAATCATATTTATATAAATTTTTTTATTTTATAATATAAATATAGTTACTATTAAATAGAAAAGCTTCTAAAAATTATACTGAGTTTAATTTTAATAATTGACATATAAAAGATGTAAAAATATGTTTTATATAATTAGTAAACATTTATTATATAAAAGAATATATTTTTATATTCTTTATTTAAAGACAAATTTAAATAATATATTTGATAATAAACTAAAAGTAAAAGTAATCTTTTATATACATTAAAGCTTCTTATAATGTAAATCTCAAAATAATACTATTTATACTATAGATAGTATGCCTATGCTTCAATGTAAATATTGTTAACCTACAAAAACAACCATAACTCTTGAACCACTGGACAGAATTCGATGAAACCACCACCATTCGAATCAGCTCACTGAG